CTATTTTAATAGTTGGCTAAGGTAATTTGTTTACATTATCCACTTATGCATGAACGCCATGAACTCGAATAATATCAGGTGATTATAATTATAATAAATAATAATGTATTGAATGATTTTATATACATTTCATAAAATACAAGAATATATATTTTTCAGCATTTGATTAAAATAAAACAAATATAAGTGTTTACTATAAATTAAATCAATTACATTTTTAAACAATAAATCACAATAACAATAATTAAGGTACCTATAGAATTCTACGAAATCAACAGATAAATAACCTGTGTATAAAAATATATAAATCAATATATTTATGTGGATATATATCAATTTTTGGTATTATATAGGTGAGCCACTGTGTTCTACCTTACAGCAAACACAGGAAAAAAGGAAAAACAATAGCCCACTCTGTATATAACAACTATATCATTTGCAGAGTATAAAAATTTGCCGCTTTGTATAACATAAAGTATTTAACAAGTGATATATTGTTTGTATATTAATGTATGGTACAATTTTAAATTATGAAAAAAAAAAGTTAACCTGTTAACATAGGTATAATTAATACATTTTTCAATAATTAGGACTAGGCATAATACACTATTATTTTTTAAGGTTTAAAATAACTGGTTATTTGTATTTTTCTAAAGAAATTCGGAATCAAAATTAATGGCATTTCTTAAATTTAAAACAATATTATTACTATTTCATTTATTCACTAGTACTATCTTCAATTGATGAACGTATTTGTTCATCATCGCCTTCATTCATTGGGGAATGGTTATGATCATTTTCCGAGTCAGTATTGTCAAGTGAACCAGATGGTTCAACTGATTGAGTTGTAGTTCGTGGAGCTTCACTTCCTTTAGGTCCGTCTTTACCAGAGACTAAATGAGAAGGTTCATTACGATTTTGCATTCCTTTTAAATGTTTTTCTCCTTTCCGCCATAATGTTATTTCCTGTAAATTTATTCATTTTTCAGCTTTACTAGTAAAGAATTTAAATGGAAATTCAGTCACAGAGGATTTATTTTAAATCCTGGGGAATATGAAAATAATCAATCAACAACCAGCTTATTGAGAACTTTAAATGACAATTTGTAATTTAAGCAACTTAGAATCATTTAAATATATATATAAAAGCTTACATATATGATTTTTTTTGATTAGATATTTAACTAGTGATTAAAAAATATGAAATTTTAAAGTATAAAAACTAAGCTTCCAATTAAATTCTATACCACCATATAATTTTAGAATAGCTCATTAAAAATAATTCACATTTATATGAGGTAAGTAATATAAGTCTTCAAACAATCAATGAGTTTTTAATACATTTTGTCTAATCTAAATTTTTACTTCATTCAAATTTAATGTTTCTAAAATAAAATTTATTAAATATATATCGAACTTATGTCATATCTATAAGATCATAATTTTTTTGAAAATGAAAAAAAAAAACCAGTTGAGAGAATGAAAATTAGCTGCTTATGCGAATGCTCCAGGTGGTGAAGTTTTATAATGGGTTTGTAAAATAATGAAAAAGACTATCCTAACCTAACAAGATCAAAATTGGTAAATATACAAAATAAAACAAACAAGGAAAAAAGGTCTATAAAAGCAAAACTGCCCTTAGGATGGTTGATGGTACATCACACAAAATATGTTGTATACTGATCATACTTAGATAACTCAGATTGAGAACCCCTGTTTATAGAGAAAAAAATAGTTGCTATCATATTTGTCAACTGCCAATTTTCATTCTTCCAACTATAAGCCATAAGAATTGTTACCAAAAAAAGCATAGTAACAAAAACATATAGTTAAATGAATACACTTATCGCTTCTACAATATGTACTTCATTTATTAATTGTCTGGTTAAATAAACATTAATATGAATATTTAAAATTTAACATAGTAAATAATATGGTTATCATTTTTAATGATTTCAAATGTACCAAGAATGTGTGTATTAAACTTAAAAAAATAATTTATTACATACTTGTTGTTTAAAATAGCGTCTATCTTCTTCGTCCATTAAAACAAGATTTAAAAAGTATCTCACTGAAAACCTCTTGTTTACATCCCTCATAGTAGGTGTGAGATCATAACCAGCAAGAAATACTCGAATAGGAATACTTTCTCCTCTAACAGGGGCTCCATCCATTATTTCATACTTAGCTATAGTTTCATTTTCATTAAATGTATTAGGACCTAAATAATAAAATACATACTTCATTAGATTGAAGATATCAAATATATTTTACTTGAATATTAAAATTTATATAACATAATTAATCTAACCAGATCCAGTAGTTTCTCTTTTAATGATAGCAATTTCCATGTGTTTTATCTTTATTCGTACTAGCAGAAAATAAATTTTACCCACAATTACATCTTTCAAATGATATCTAAAATATATATACTCATATTAATAAATCAGAGTAATTATWGATAAATAATTAACACACTTGCACTTATTGTATTCAAACTCAATATGTAAACAATCTTCAATTCCTACTTCCATTTTTATACTATTATTCATATCAGGATAAGAGGATAAAGTATGTACTATAATATCCATTTCTTTAACTATATCATAGATTCTTCTTATGACGGTAACTCTTAAAAAGTATCTAAAAACAAAAAATACAATTATATAAATCTTAATATTAAAAATATTATTGCTTGGTCAACTATTGCACTGTACCTCAGCCTCACATTAGAGCCAGTATATGTCTCATATGGTTTTTCTACATTTAAAAATTCAAAATTATAAGAAGTATTTTGTAACATTTCTCCAGGCCTTGCCAGTTCCTTGACTAGTGATGTAAACTCATGATGGTTACCTCGATCATAGTACATTTCTATTTGGCCTATGAATTCAACTTTAATACCCTGGTGTTCCAAACGACTGCTTGACTTTTTTAGTATTACATTAACCTATTAATAATAAAAAAATTTTTAGTAAAAGACAATCAAATGATTTCAATAATAATATAACAGTTTAAGTTTTTATTCTTCTAATTATATAATAATAGTAGAAATAAATTCAATGGCATGATTGGAGGAAGATAATGTATATATTTTGGCCTGTCTGATTTAAAATGCAGCTCAATGGGCCGGTTGTAGATAAAAAATAATAAATAGTTTTATAATGTTGAAGAATTATTATGTAGTATAGGGGATAGGAAATAATTGTTATGATAATAATTAACATTTGTATTTTTTTAATTTAATTATAAAATCAAATATGTTTTCAGAACTTATTTATAATAACAAGGAGTAAGCACAATTGGCAAAATATAAGCCCATTTGGTAGAAAACACAGTTGGGTCGAATCCCCTCAATTTTAAATCATTATAAATTATTTAACGATTTTATCAACCATTATAATTTACTTAAAATTTTAAAAAACATTTATAAAAAAAAAAGTATCAAAGTAAAATAAAAATGTTAATTTATTACTCTTCCAGATACAGTTTCTCCATCATAATATATTAAACTTTGATCTTTTTTACTGCTTTCATCTAGTTTTTTTTTTCCATCTGGTCGATCTAAGACTATTTCCAACTCTGCCGTTTGTCCAAGTCCAAAAAAAGTCTGTAACATGAATATAAATATGTATATAAATAATCACTATAAAACAGTTCTACCTATTCCATAAATTRGAAATAGGTAATTACAACAGATTAATTTTAGAAAATTCAACTTGCACATAGTGAAAACAATTAATGAAACAACACTAGTATTTTATTAGATACATTAAATAAAATCATAGGCTAAGGGCCGCTTTCACCAAATACTTTAAACGTCGATTACGCTTAATYGACTGATAACAGTTATTTAACCGGCCAAATTCGGGCGATTAAACCCCGGTTTAACTTAATCRTAGTTTAAAGTAGTGGTAAAACCGGTTCTAAGTTTAATGCTAACAACAATGATAAGTAGAAAATTAATGAGAAATAAAATTAAGGTTAAATTATCATTTTAGAAGGTTAGAAAAGGAACAGTTCGACCAAGTGTACACATCAAAGCAGTACGAAACAGGTGGCCAGGTTATTGAATTGGGCATGCAGTGAGTCATGGCAGTTTTCTTTTTCACTGCAKTGATATGTGCCTGCCTTTAATATACARTATATGAAACAATTGTTGGGATGTAGGTAATAAATATTAATTAATAAATACAAGAATAGATAGAAGATGGTGGATGTTAGTTATATTTTTCAAAATTTACCACAAAATAATTAAATGAAACAGCCAACAGCCAACTACTTAAAATAATTAATGATAGCCTATATAATAATAATGTATTTATTCTAGAAAAGCTAACTCAAAAAATCTTTATTTTTTTTTCACACATATTATATTGTACGGAGACAGGTAATCTTAATAATTATATACAAGCATAAAGCATACAATTATTAAATACATAATCAGTGCTAGAATCTCAGTTTTTGCTCATTACAAACTAATATTTGATTACAGATTATAAGTAATTCATAATATACAAGTTTTCCATTTATAAACTCGTAATATTTACTGTAGAAGTAAAAAATAAAACTATAAAATACTGATCTAAAGTTCTAGAATTAAAATGTGTGTATAACTTGCATGTGTTAGCTTTGAAACAATTGTATGCTATTAAAATGTCAAACCATACAATTAATAAAATAGGTATTGCAAATTTATAAAATAAGAAAATTGGGTAGGTATTTTGTTCAATTGAAAATGATTTAGATTAGATGTTTTCTCAGTAACATTCAATTAGATTTTACCATAATACCATTAAAATACAATTGGTCCCATGAATGTATTACTTATCTTAAAAAATTATAAATTTAAATTTAAATTTAAAAATAAGCACGTAGATACTGATAAAATTGCCTAATTAGTTTTAATTGAATATTCTATTAAAGTAACATAGTTTAATTTTTAAATCAACTGTGATTGGAAATATTATGTTAACAAGTAGGATAGCATCAGATAGTAAATTTTTGATGCCTATTTAGAAAATAACTACCTATGAACAAAACAGTATTGGTAACTTATTATTAAGACCACCATAACAGTTTTGTGTGTTAAGACCCAATGGTAGGAGAACACCTAGAAAATTAGCAAGGGATGTTTAAATATTGTAACAAATAACAATAATATCTGGAAACTATCAAATACAATATATCATGGCCTGACGACTGTCACGRGTAAAGATTTTATTGGGGGAGTAGACTGCGGTCGACGAACAACAGTTAACACCAGAACGGTGGGCAACACTCACCATTTTCGAGATTCGTCGTCGTCGGTAGGTTAGAGGTACCTAGAGGGACTAATCTCTGGACAACTGGACTGCCGCCCGCGTGAAAATAAAACCGTCGTCGTCGGCGGACGGCACGTGAAGGTGAGCGTCTGAAAGAGGATGACGTGCTGACGGTGTCTACCGCCCAACAGCAGAAAAACAGACACTGTTCTCCACCGTGCTCTATCTCAATCGGCAGACAATAATATTATCATCGTTGTGGGCATGGCTTGTTGATCGGAAAACGCACACGACCAAAAATTCGTACGAAGTCTTCGGTCGACAGTTCCCGGGTGCGACACGACTAAGCAATCGTAGACGATTTGATTTTAATTTTTTATTTATTATCAATCGACACACACACGACAGAACACGTTAAGCTGTTGAGTGAAAAAAAAAAATGAAAATAATAAATCGAAAAAAAAAACACCCACAAGCCACCGGCGGTCAATATCACAATTATTCACAATATCGCAGATATAATAATAATAATTATTATTATTATTACGTACGTACATATAATATTTTATAATAATAATATATAACAAATATGTATAATAAACGGTGCGTATGTATTATGTACATACGTATATAACATACACATATGACATATATAATAATGTTATATGTGTGGATTACAATTTACAATACGGTGGTCATAATATAAGTATGATAATATCAGTGAATATCACGTACAGTCGTACAGAGAATTGTATAGAAGTTAGTGCAGTGGTAATGTTTCGCTTTTCGAGATATTAACTTTTTATTCGCCGTGACAAACGGGATATGCAATAGCCCAGTGCAGCCACGTCGCACGGACTGACGGACGGTTGGAGTTAATAAAATATACGTCACGGCAAACCATTTTTTTTTAATTGGAACTTGGAACATAATAACAACGGACTAGAATAATAGGGCTATTGGGGGGGGGGGGAGAGGGCGAAGGGGTTATTAGTACCGTCAATTATTCGGTCATTTTTATTGTTTTTTTTTTTTACCAAATTATTTAATATTATTGTGTGTGGTCTCTAGATTAGGTTAGGTATAACCTATATAAGCGTAAATCAATTTCGGTGCTATTGAATTGGCTCCCCAATATAGATAGTCAATATTTTACCCTTACTAGGTATACCCTTACTACTACCTAACCTAACCTTTGAATTGGCTTTCAAGAATTTATTGTTGAATTGGCTCCCTACCGTTTTTTTTCAAAAATGTATTGGTTGCCAAAATGTTAATAATTTGAAGTACGTATAATTCGTAAATTCGTAATTCCTATATTTTACAACGTACAATTAAATTTAAAAACAGACCATATTTTACCTAAGTGCGTCATCATAAAATTTATGTATATTATATAAATAAAAAAATATTAACGATAAAATAAAAATGTATTTGTATAGGAGTCAATGATAACCGATTATTGTAGTAGATTACGACGATAAAGACGATAAGACTAAATTCAATACATCTGTAATATAAATTTAATTGTACGTTGTAAAATAAAAATGTATTTGTATAGGAGTCAATGATAACCGATTATTGTAGTAGATTACGACGATAAAGACGATAAGACTAAATTCAATACATCTGTAATATAAATGGTATAGGTATATCCAGCGGTAGCCGGTAGGTACACTATAATATTATTTGAGTGCTAACTTTACTGCCAGACTATATATTAGGTATACCGTATACGTAAGAGTAAACGCCTATAATATGAGAATCCCTGGTTAAAAAATAATATTTAACAAATTAAGGAGCCAATTCAAATATACATTTTTCAGAAGTCAATACAAGGATCGAATTTATATTTACCCAAAATTGAGAGCCAATTCAATGGTAGCCATCAATTTCATAAAAAATGTGTATTTTATTAAAATCGTTGTTATTATTAATATTTAATCAAGCATTTACAGTAAATTAAAATTAGTGATACCTATTGAGATTRGTTTAAAAAATAAGTAAAAATTAAGAATTATAATATTATTTTAAATTAGTTAAACAAGTATCATATATAAATAAATACATATATTAAACTAATATATATAATAATGAGTAGGTACCTCAAAATTAAATTTGAAATTTGAAGCTAACTATCATCAAGTACCTATTCCAATCTGAAAATTTTTTTCTTTTTACAAGGTCCAAATTTATGTATTGGAGATGACTTTAAATTTACAATTTATTTTTGCGCTTTTATCCCACTACCAAGGTATAAAAGCACAAAACAAATTTGCGCTTTTAAGTTATCGAAAAAAAAGGTTGATTTGCGCTTTCAGGTTTCACGGTTTCTCATAGTCTCATACCGTCATACSTATACGGYTATACTATGTTATTCTCTAACATACAGTGGCGGACTGGGAKAAAAACACAGCCCGGGAAAATCATAATTGTAGAGGCCCTCAATATACTAACGGCCTTTTAAATATATAATATATTTTTTATACGTCATGTGGATGCTATAACG